CCTGACAAGCCGGGCATCGAGCAGGTCCCCAGAGTCCCAGACCAGAAGTGGAGGCAGCCCACACTGCAGGGCCTCCAAGCAGGGAGCAGAGATGTCAGCTGGGCAGACCAGCCGCAACCCACCTTGTTGTGGGCAGCGGAGGTGGGAGAGGCATCCTGCAAAGAGTGGCACTTGGGCATCAACAGCCCTTAACCTGTTGACCCTAGCAGACTAAATTTTTGGTGCCTCTCCTGCTCTGCCTGCATCCATTTCATACCCCCAAATCCCTTGGTCCCCTGACTCCCCATGCCTGTGCACCTCGGCACCATGCCATGCCAGGAGATGTTCTTCTCCAGGGGGTGGAAAAGGACTCCTGGTCCAGGGAAGCCCTGCCTTGCCCCATATCTAGCAGGGTTCAGTGCTGCAAGCCCTGCCCCACATCTGGCACAGCCAGACTGATGTTGAAGGGCTAGAGAAGCTGGACGAGACACTGCCGGGGTGGGGAGGGGTGGCCAAGGAGGGACTAGGGTAGCTGACTGCATTTCTCCAACCTTACAGGGTCGCCTGGAGATGTGGGTGGACATGTTCCCCATGGACCTGCCAGCGCCTGGCCCTGCCACTGATATCTCTCCCAGGAAACCAAAGAAGTAAGGAACCTCCCAGCCAACCAACCCCAGGGAAAACTTGAAGCTGGGGATGGAGCCCTGCTTCTCCCCTCTCCTGATGCTGCTCCATCGCCCAGCCCAGACCTCTTCCTGGGTACCTCGACCATGCTGGCCTTTCCAGAGATCCCAAGACTGGAGGCATCTTCCAGAGCTGCTCTTGAAGGGTGGTATCTCACCCTGAGCACTTGGGATGGGCCGGAAGGTGATGGCCAGAGCCTGGCGCAGGGAAGGTGACAGGGACAGAACTGGTCAATCCAAGCAGGACAGAGCAGGCAACAGGCAGAGTTTTTCCCTCTCCACCTTCTCTCCCCTAACTCATTTAGAGAGAAGAGAGACATTTCTTCCCTTGGCATCTCTCCTAGCCCTGCCTTATCTGCTAGACTGTGTCCTTGGGCCCCTTTTCCCACTTCCAGGGCCAGGATACAGGGACAGTGCTGGGCATCCTGGTGGGAGTCGCTCACAATCCCATGCCCAGCAGACGATGCTTTGGATAGAGAGAATGTCCCTTGATACTCGTGAGTTGCAGCTGGGGTCTGAACAGCAGAGCAGGCAGCTGTGGGAAAGCTGAGGCCAAGGGCAAGGTCCAGACACCAGCATGGACTGGAAAAGCAGCGGGTTGTCTACAGTCCAGCCCAGGACAGTCATGTTCAGCAGTGACCTGTGAGCTGGAGCTGAGGTGTTCCTACTGATGGGCTGAAGAGAGGGTTTTCAGGTAGCCTGTTTCAAGCAAGGTTGCGCCTGGTCAGGCATTGGAATAGGCTGCCCAGGGAAGAGGTGGAGTCACCATTCCGGGAGCAGTTCAAAAACCGTGTAGATGTGGCATTTCGGGACATGATTTAGCAGGCATGGTGGTGTTGGGTTGATGGTTGGACTTGATGATCGTAGAGGTCTTTTCCAACCTATGATTCTATGGCTATTATCCTAGGGGTTCAACCCATCTCCCCTATCTTTGCTGGGAGCATCTGCCACCACCTGACAGTAGCTGTGGGTGCTAGGTGCTGGGGAGGCACAGCATGGGACAAGCTCCCACCCACAGGTGCAGACAGGAGGGAGAGATGGGGCAGAAAAAGATGGCAAGAGTCCCAAGGCTGGGCTCAGCCAGGGCATTGCCAGGAGCTACTGGAGAGAGTCCAGTGGAGGGCTACGAGGATGAGGAGGGGACTGGAGCATCTCTCCTGCGCGGAG